GGGGGGGGGGGTTATGGTTTCCGCATAAGTGTCTTTGTGGTAAACGGACAAGGCACACACTCTCTAGTCTAAACACGTGCGGAGGAACCAGTCGCGAAAAGTTCCTAAGTAGTTTACACCAAGCGCTTGTCTTCTGATGCAGTCAGCATTAAACGTAACTAAAATAAAATGGTGCATCTTCCGCAGATCTTCAAGCATAGAAGGAAATATGTCCTGTCCTGCGTATGAATTCAGCATGCAGACGCACACAGAATATGAATGGAGTCTGCGTCACTCAACTGCTCTGCACGTCTTCCCGTTGAGTACATTAACACTAGAAGTTTGGTTTTATGATGGGAAAAAAAAGTATTTTACGCACAGTGAGACAGAAGTGCATTTGGCACATGCCCTACCGGTATGTCAGCAGTACTCGAAAGTGTGAAACGTAATTGGTAAATCCGGCTCTGGTCAGTACGAGGAGAACTGAAAAGGTAATTAAGAAGAAAGCAGTTAGAGTTGCGTAGGACGTTTTATTGGATAGAAATTTCAGACTTCACGAAAACCCCTATGAGCATCCGAGCCTTTTGCATATATAAATCAACCAGACATTCGTGTGAAAGTTAACTGCCTCAAACTCGACCTCTCAGGAGCTATGGACAAAAATCACCTCGGCATCTTGCTAGGAACGATTATCGCCCTGATCCTCCTCATTCTCGGGGTCTCTATTCAAAGGTGGCCATGTATTGCTAAAAATTCGACTATTAGTCATGGGATTTTAACCGGCTGTATCTCACCTGACGTAAGCAAAAACAATGAATACCTGGCCATCGGTGTCCTTCTCGCCTTCGCCATCATTCTGGTTGCCCTTGCACTCATTTTTATCTTCCTCGATCTGACGATTAACGACTACAGGTGGGAAATTGTAGCAATAATATGTATTTTCCTTGGAGCTTTACTAGCTCTAATTGCAATGCTGATCTACTACATTGGATTGAATGAGTGGATTTCGCCTATCCTGGCGACCATCGGCATGGCTTTTGCTGTCGCCGTAACCATATTTATGGTGATGCGGAGATTAGCCTGCTGATAATGCATTGTTGAATATTCTTCATGTTACAACTTTGTTATTTTGGAAATAAAAATACAAAAATGTCCAGGACGGATAGTGTTACATTATGCTTTGATTTAAATCACCCGGCTTATGAGTCGTCAGACTAAAAAACAAGGCCGAACGGAGAATTTGAGCTCTTGAACAGTAGGTTTTTTTGGTTTTTCCCCACCTGTAGTCAACTTCCGTATATCACAGTTGTTAGCTACGGACTTCATGCAAATGTCGCTATCCTGAGGCAGTTATCCACTTCGGCGAAAAATACTCCAAAATAAAGAGAAAAGTGAGCTCTTTAATTTCTAGCCAAATGATATCATATATCTTCAGGTAAATTAAAAAAAAACTTATAAAAAATCTCCATTTTGATTTTGACACTACCTTGGAAACAAGTGACACGCACACACATTCGTCGGCTGAATATCTTATTAAAGTGCTCTTTGAAGAGGGAAACTATGCTTTAATATTTTAGATCATATTAGGAATCAAAATATCAGACTTCTGTTGTGAACGTTCCTTTGCTCGACAACATGTTTTGTTGTTTGGAGGAATTTCCATAGATTGCCTAGATGGCTATCTTCGTAAGAAATAATATCCAAACACTCAGTTTTAAGTAAACGCCTTTCATAGATACCTTATTTAAAATTTTTGATATAATCGTCGATAGGAATCTGGGTTTATGGGAAAAGGCTTGAAACCACAGAAAATCTTCGAAAATCTGCCGGGATTTAAAGGAAAGTCTCGAAGAAAATGTAGTTAAACGACTGCAATATGTTTAAAATATTCTGAATAAGGAAACGTTCTTCTGATATAAAGAAAATGGTAATGTTATCCATTTAACTTACCAGATTTAAATTTATTTTCCTACTTTACATCTAAACGCCTGGATCGTATCAGATAGCATTTTTCGGCTGTCAGTATCAAGGGGCGATGAGAATAAGTTCTTAACAAATTTGTCTTACTTGAATGTGTTGAACTCCGTCTGTGTACTCGGCAACTCTCACTTCTAATAAGGGAGCAACTTACTCCACGTGGTAAACGGTCATGCTGGCATGGCATTAGTAGCTTTGTGGGTTTATTTATACAGCCGAGTCGGAAAGGGAAGGGAAGGGGGAGTCGTTAAGGTTTATGTTTCCCGCTGCGGAAATGTTTTGGCTTTGGCGCTTATCGCTCGCATAAACACAGGGAATATTTCTGCAACAGATAACATTTTCAGTGTTGTCGGCTGAGCTTTGCGATATTGCCGCGCCAATTGCAAATTCACTGGCCCGTGTCTATGATGCAGATCCCGGCCTGCTCGCTGATGTCAGAGAAATTCAGGATAGGACTCTCCTCACACACCGGCATTCAATCAGACCTCATCTCCTTTTGGGTAAGCTTGTTCAAGCGTGTGACTTTATGAACCTACTCCTTGGGGAGCTTCTTGTAGTAGGAAGTGGGGCCCAGGAAAAAACTTCCGACCTCAGTCACATTAGTTAGCGTTAACCACTCGTGGCCTTTGGTAGCCTTAGCCTTATCGCTCTCGATCCCGGATACGGAAACGACATGCCGTAAGAATTTGACCTTGTCTCGTAGAAGTACGCATTTCACCGGCTTAAGAATGAGACCTGCCTGTTATAGGCGGTCGGATACCACACGCAGATCCTTACAAGGGTCTTCGGAGGCCTGTCCAAGTACAATGATGCCATCGGGATACACCAAACATGTCTTCAAATGTGTTATGACCCGTGCCTGGTACTAGTAATAAGAACGAACGTCTCAAGCCCGTAAGAGAGGCTGTGAGAAGACCAGTCGGCCAGACAGAGAGTCTACTCAGACAAGAGCACCGTACAGCACGTCAATGCAAGTCAGCGCAAGTCAAGTCAGACACAGGGTACATGTACTTTAAAGGGAACGCGAGAGAC